GGGCTCTTTCCACGTGCTGAGGGAAGAGTCTTAGACTATTGATCTCTAACTTCCACCTTTCAACCATCTTTTTAAGTTCTTCTCTAAACTTAGGTACCAAGGCTACTGTTTTTTTCCAGCATAGGGTGATCTCGGTCTCCTCGAGTAATTTCTTTACTACTTCATCTATCCAGATCCCTTCCTCGGCTTCGGATCTCAAGACCACCCTTCTCTTCTTCCCAGCAGCTTCCTTTCATTTTCCTTCCTTCACTAGGTCTTTGGTCTCATCTATCAGCTGGTCTAGCTCTTTTTTATCCTTCTCTCGCTTTTTCTCTTCGACCTCTCTCTGACTGATATAGGATACATTCAGACTTTGACTTCCAGGATTGTCGTATCGAGCCACTATCTCCAGAGGTAGCATACCATCAAAGGTAACAACATTAACTCTAGCCTTCTTTTTTTTTATCCTTATTGGCCCTAGCCTGTTCTAGGACAACTGCTCGCATCCCTCTATTAACTCGAAAATCTATCTTGTTCCAATTGGCATCACAGACGTGCCCATTGACATTCTTCTTGACAATCCCTTCTTCGAATTCCTTCTCTAGTAAAGGGCACCGAGTTATAGTATGGTCTTCCTCGTCACAATAATAACATCGGAAGGGGTCATCTCTCTTTTGTCAATCTCGGCTCTTATTATCTTTCTTCCAATCCCGGTCACGCTTCTTCTTTTGTCTCTCTTTTCTCCTTCGCCTAGCGTCATCATCACTACTCTCGCTCTCACTTTCACTTTCCTCTTTTTGCTTCTCCTTCTTTCTTTCTACCTTACCTTCTTCGGCTCCAACAAGTGCTTGAGTTGCTAGGGCAGGAAGGGTTAACTTTTCGAAGCTACCAAGCTTAACGAGAAGACCAAGGATCTCTTCGGCCTTCAAGTTTCCTCCCTTAGTTGCCTCAACATTTCCCTCTCTTGCACTAGTGATTGTTTTCATCTGTTCCAGAGACCAATTCCGGTTTGACACCGAAGGTAGTTCACGGACCATCTCAACCACTTCATCCCACTTCAGAGGATAATGAGCAGCGCGGCTTACCACACTCTTTCTTTCATCCTCTGCGAAATTAGTTAGCAGGACATGACACTTCTGGGCCTCATCCAGGAAGGAACATGTTATTCGTTACAATAGTACATTATTGTGTGTACTATTTTGAAACGAATTTATGACACAGTGTATAGTCTGGTGTAGTATTCCAGATCCGGATACATCCGAACAAGGAGTAAAGCAGCTTTGAGGCGAGGAGCACAGTCAGTACATATATCTGTTGCGCTTCTCTCGTGGTTCGAATGTGTCCAGATGTGGAATACCACAGCAGAGTATACACTGTGTTATACACCTCTGAGTCAGTACATATATCTGCTACCACTGTGTTATATGTACTGCTGCCTCAGTACATAACAGAGTAATATATTACACTGTGTCATAGTTTCACTTGGAGTTAAGCATCCCACTCATCCGAATCAGAACATATAATGACACAAACTCGAGTTTGTGAGTAAAACGAGTTGTGCCTCTTCACAGACTTAGAGGAGTAGGATGACCTGTATTTAGAAGTGTGAGGACCTGAATTAATTGGAGTCCTGCACCGATGATCGTGTAGATGTATAGTGCGAGAGAGATAGAAAAAGAAAGAGAGACAGAAAGAGCGAAAGAGAGACAAACAGAAAGAGCGAGAGACAGAGAGTCTTAGAGAGACTGTACTTAATTTTCAGGAGACGCAGGGTCGAGCACACACGTAGACCATCAGCCTCGTTTTTTAAAGCATTTCAGACGATCGTTGTAGGAGAGCAGCAAGGTAATGTGAAGCTCCAAGAAAAGCGAAGCTCGGATGTATCCGAGATCACAGGAGATAGACAGACAGAGGAAGTCCGTAAGAAATGGTCGTATACATTTGAAGAGCGAGAGATATAGAAAAAGAGAGAGAGACAGAAAAAGCGAAAGACAGAGTGTCTGAGAGAGACTGTACTTAATTTTCTCGAGACGCCGCACGGACGGCGCAGGGTCGAGCACACGCGGAGATCATCAGCCTCGCTTTTAAAAGCATTTTAGAATATCGTTGCAGAAGAGCAGCAAGGCAATGTGACTTTCCCAGATAAGCGAAGTTCGGATATATCCGAGATCACAGGAGATTGACAGAGAGGAAGCCCGCAAGAAATGGCATATTAGCACGCCAGAGGGTTGAGAGATGGAAAAGACAAGCACCGTATAGTCACCCACAGCATTTCGTGTTACGGACGTATCTGAAGTGTCGAACTAGTATAGACCCTTCAGTTTGAAGCTTCCCCTGTGCTTTTTGGGACACAGTTCAAGAAGTATGTTTTGCGAAATTGAGAGAGAGAGAGAGAGAGAGAGAGACAAACATTGTACCATTCCACCACATTTATGATCCATCAGAAGTGTCTCGGCCGTGAGTCGCTTCGCTACGATCTAGACAAAGCTGACAGAGATAGAAAGAGCGCGTCAGAGAGATGGAGAGGGAGACAGAGACAGAGACAGGGACACGGACAGAGACACAGAGAGAGACAGAGAGAGTGTGGATGATCGCACTGAATTTTCTTTTCATGTCGACATGTGGCACAGGAGACGCATGCTCGAGGAACATGTGAAAACCACAAGTGTAGTTGTACAAGAATTGCAAGGTTTTCGTTAGGCGAGAGTAAGCCAAGTTCGGATGCATTCGAGATGACAGGGGAGAGGGAGTCCGAAGCAAACAGCAATTGAGCGCACTAGACACAACTGTGTGTGTGTGTGTGTGTGTGTGTGTATGTGTGTGTGTGTGTGTGTGTGTGTGTGTGAGAGAGAGAGAGAGAGTTGATTCTTGAATTCGTTTTTCGGAAATTGAGGCGATCACCAATCATACAATGGTTATTTGTTTATGAGTGCCAGCTCAATTCAGTTTGTGTCACTTTCTAGTATCAGTCGGCTTCACCTTGTGATTTATCCTTTCGTCACCACATCCAATTTTGTCCAAYCATGCAATTGTATTTTCAGCCGCGCCACCCTAATTCAAATCTCGTCACATTCGAGCAGCCATTGGCGTCGCCTTTTGGGTTTTCCCTCTCGGCACATTCAAATTTTTCATTGTATTGGGTAATGCATAGGAGCCGAATGTATGAATGCTCGTGCAGAAGGGGAGCTTTGCCGGGTCAAAGAATTAACAACATTCAATGTCGGAATCACAAACCACACAGTGCGGAGGGCCAGACGGGCCATCAAATGTATAAAGAGGTCCGTGTGTTGTATTTTGTTCTCTGTGACGCCTCACAACATTCAAAGTGAAAATGCATAGATGAGTGTAGACGACGGGGGAGGTTCGGGAAAGAGGCAGAAAAGCATAGAGTTAGTTTGAGTCCGGATGCATCCGAGTATGCGGGCAGAACATCACACCACACAAGGCACAAAATGACGAAAGCGAGATATTCAATCACGAAACAGGCGCCCCAACAACGGGGACGTTCGTGATAATTGAAATCCAATGAGAAAGAACAATATTGTCGACGACAAACACGCCGGGGACATGACAAGTTCACCCGGAGATTTCCTGGCAGTGACAGTCAATTCTGCTCTGAACCAAACAGAGAACACCCACCAGTCCCTCACGGAAAAAATGAAAAGGAACAAATTTCGTCCGGAGAAGAACGAAATGTTTTTCTTCGTCAACCCGTCTACACTACATGATCAACAAAGAGATAGACGCTTATCTACCAACATCGCAAATCGCCAAAGCTAGTCTAGCTCTGATAGAGGAGATGTGTCTATGGGAGAAACCAAAAGGTGGACGTAAACCTCTCGCTAAACAAGAAGCGAACATTAACATGAACACCCCACAACTAGCCCCGTCGTGCTGCCGAGGGACACCTTTCACGCTGACCTCTCGAGCGAAGTGGTCGAAAGTGCGACCATCACCGGTGGCACCTGCCACCGTGTTCAAAAATTTAACAGTTTTATCTAGAAGTGCATAGTAGAAGGAATCTTTGGAGGACGAACACGAGAAAGAATCATAGATTTCCAAAACACGTCTAGATAAGTCAATGGCCAAAAGGCTCCAGTGTTCGCCGTCCTTGTGCACTGGTGCCGAGACGAGGTCATGAGACAGGAGGTCGACATCTTTAGGCCATCTGAGAACAGTTGTCGGACCTTGCAGAAGCAGTGAAGAGGCGAAGGAGTTAAAGGTGTATGTCTTCATGGTAGCGGCAGTCCGGCCGCAGTCGTCCAGCAGCATCGCCATGTAGAAATTGACAACCTCATCGTTGAGCTCCCCGAATCTATCCACGAGTGTGACGATGTCCTTGACGGATACCTGTAAACTGTGCGATAACAAACGCGCGACGATGATAGTGAGCGGCAACCGGGAGCAGATAACGTCTTCAAGGACCGCTCTTCCATCTCGAGGAAACCCTGTTCAACAAACACCCGCAGCACACAGCAAGCACTAAGGACGGGGCACTATGAGAAAATGTCGTCCTAGCGGCTATGGTCCGAGGAACCGCTACTCTGTGGTCCAAAAAGTTCACGCATAACGTCACCCCTACTTCTGGACCTTCTACACACAGTTCATTCTAAACTAGCACTGTCCTTTATATCCCTGCAAGCCTCGAGAAGGAATTCCTTGCAGTCTTTTTCAGCAACACCCGCTGCCCCTGCAACGAGTCTTGCGCGGGAGCCCAATACGGGCACGACTACCCTTCTGGGAGGGCCTCGAGGCTTTGTGTCCCCAGGAAACGCATCAGTGACATTGCGACGACCAGTGCCTCCCGCAACCAGGACGGACAACCTGGCGAGGGCAGGCGTCTCCTGCGACATGGGTGTTTGTCCACGAGTTCGTCGACTTGTACAAGAAATAGCCACCTAGACAGTTCAGCAGGAGATCAACAACACAAGTTCGCAAGAGCAACCAAGCAAACAGCACCTCACGAAGCACATCGTCACAATCGAGTTGGCGGCCGTCTATACACCTCCCCGAAATCGACGAAGCAAACAACACTTCACGAAAGGGCTGATGAGCGGGAAGAAAGCAGAGAAAGTCAGTGCTTACCAAGCCTAGCTACCACTTCACCAGAGCCCACCGACGGCAGTCCCAGCACGATTGGCACCCCTGCGCGCGTCGACGAGGCGACGACCTGCTCCAAACCCACAGGGAAACTTGACAGGCTCGAGATGTCGGCGTCGATGACCGTAGACGGTATATTCGTCTCCGGACAAAGATCGTTGACGTCCACAACATCGACAAGCTGTGTTTTCTCCATTGCCACTGTGTCGTATTGTGTTGGGCTCAATGTCCCATGGATGTCCAACAACACCTCTCCCCCCCTTAACTTCTTGTCCCTGTACGCTGTGTCTTTGTCGTCGGACCACCCGTTCGAGTTCTGTAGACAGCTGTGCTCCCTTGATGGCACGGCCTTCGCGGTTCGGATTAATCCGAAATTCCTTTTGAGGCGAAACGGAACACGGTTCCAGCTTGTCGCCGCCGGACCCGTGGTATGTTGTCGTCTCGCTTCCCGGAAGGCACTGAGTTCCGGACAATGAGGTCGTCTCCGAGGTTCGGATTGATCCGAGACAATCCGCCAACCGTTTTTGGAGCTGAGCGAAGCCTGTTCCATGCTTTGCGACACCCGCCCCACCAACCGCATCGACAAACTGTGTTTCGCTGGTGGAGCTAATCACAGGGTCCCGCTCGCCAGGCCGCGTAATACACCCAGGCCTCAAGTCGTTCCCCGTCTCCATTGAGGTGCTGCCTGTTACTGCCAGAACCCCACCGTCCTCGTCGCCGTCGACATCGGACCCCTGCCCGTCTCCTCTGTGATGCTTTGTCTTCTCTCCGCTGCGAGGCTTCTTCTTCTCCCGGCTGCCCTTTTTCCCCTCTCCGCCGCCTGCGTGCCCCGGAGACCGGTGTTTCGTCGAACGTTGTTCACTTCCACCTCCGGTACCTCGTTGTCCACCGCCTTCACCATCCCCGTCGCCGTCCTTTCCGCGAGACTTGCGCTTCACAACTCCTGCCAGCGGGGTGACCCCAGGCAACTCCCAACTCACTTGCTTAATTAACGGGCTTGACGGAAAGGCGTAGAACGCGGAGGACACTTCCAACCATTTATTTGACTGCAAGAACTCGAACAGCGTGTCCCCGTATTCGCGAAGAGCAGGGTCGTCCTTGTTTCCTCGATTGACCTCACTTAATCTCTCCAATACCGCATCGTAGGCGCGAGATTTGAATGTCTCGAGGTCCCAACGATCGTCATATATCCACCCTCCACTTACATCCCTCATAGCCACTGCCCATTCGCCGTCGAGAAGAACTGGCTGGAAATGGTCTGGGTGCCACACGATATCATGGCCCCAATCTTCGGCTGTGGAGAAGGTGTGTTTGTCGCCCATGTGGAAGGGAGCCGCAGGAGCCTTGAGATGCGGATAGTCAGGAGGAACTGGATGGCCGGGTCGAAGACGTTCGGGCTGCGGTGTGAGACGAATAGGCTCCCCCGGCGAACTCCTCAGACGGGACAACCCACCCCTCTTGACAGGCGTTGAGGAGAACACGAGCGTGGGACCGCCCGAGGTAGGTGTAGCGAGAGGTGTCCCCGGTTTGCATACTGATGGCGACTCAGAAACTTGGGCGTTGAAGATGGTCAATTGCCCGTCCAAATCGAAGAGGTCGTCCTCAACGCTCTCCTCCTGCTAAGTCTCGATATTGAAGTCCTCCTCCTCACCGAATGCCAGCTTGTACTTATCCAAAGTGAAGTCGGCCGGATCGACAACATCCTCGTTAAAAAAGACATATTCCAGCCTCTTAATGAAGCTCACAGCGCCGGCCCGACTCGCTCCGTGGTAGCCCTGGAGGACCGCAATGGCGACTTCCTTCCGCGCCACGCACCGCGGGTCAAATCTCAACCTTGGTTGTTCGCCGTAAAGGAACGAGTAGACCTGGCGCCTTTTCTTCGGAGTCAACTTAAAGAACATGTCCTTGTTCGGGTCATAAACGGGCTCGACCACGACATGGTGGAAATCGCATGGGTAAGCCTTGGACGACACTTCATGGGTGACATACTGCACGGTGTATTCGAGCTGCGTTGTGTCCCCATCCACGGCCAAGACGTGCCTTCCCTGCAGAAGCAGACTCCACACCACCTGCGCGTGCGGCTTGCCCAAGAACAGCACGGAATCCGCCACACCACAGAAGAAAAGAAGCTGATTGCACAACTGATTCGGATTCCGCTCGCCGTCCTTGTACAGAGCCCCCCTCTGGGTCAGGTTTCCGATGTCCGCGAAAGTCAAAGACTTGAAAGACTTCTCCTCCACAACACCAAAGGCGACTGCAAGGAACGACAAGACAAGCGGACGGCGGCGACAGCGTCTTCAGCAACAGCTCCCTCGTACACCGGGTGAGTCTGTAGCCGAGGATCCTCGCCTTTGAAAAGGATGTGCATCACATCCGGCTCCTCCCAGACGCTGTTTTCGAACTGATGCGTCTTCTTCGATGTCGTCTTCCGAACCCACTTCCCTGTGTAGCATCGGGTAGCCCCAAGCGCAGACAAACATGTCATGAAGGAGAGGCTCCACAGGCAGGGGACGAATACCACCAATGTCCAGTAGTCCTGACAAACGAAGCCCAGCAACTCACTCAGAGACCCGAATGCCCCAGAGTCCCATTGCGCACGGTCCACAGCACCGCACAAGTCGAGCACGCAAGTGTGGGAGCGTAGCTGATGCCCTAGTTTTCCCAGCACGTCCTTATGATCTATGGCAGTGAATGGGTCGACGTTAAACTGGGCCAGCGTCGTCAAGGCGCTTGTCCTTGTCCACATAATGTTGATGCATTCATCAACGCCCCGAGGTTTTTTTTTGCCTTTGGCGTGATCTCCAGTGATCACCGAAAGGACGACACGCTTCCACTCCGCCGGGAAATTCTGGTCGTTGACGAGGGCCGGCGTTCTTTTGATGCTGTTGTCGTGTTGACACCGGAGAAACTGAGGGCACTTGTTGACGTATGTGGTGTCCGTGAAAAATTTCTTGCTCTCGTTCCAAAGCTTGTCGTCGAGACCTCTGTCCTTGAACTCTTCGAACAGTTGCTTCTTGGACCTGAAGAACGTGGAGTTGACATTCCACTCCCGCTTATCCATTTCCTCGTACTCGAACTCCACGTAGTGCCATAGCCTCAGCATAATCCAGTCCATTTTTATTATGTCGACCATCTCCTTGACACTGAACTTCCCCTGCTCGGCCAACTTTTTGCTACTCGTTTGAACCCACACGACGTTAAGGTTCAAGACGCCGTTCAACAGCCTTTTCTTCTCACGGTCCGTCAAGTCCACCAATTCCTTCCAGCAGTGGACATCCGTCTCTGGAACTTGGACGTAGAAAGTTTTCTCCTCTGCGCCTTTCTTTGGCTTCCCCCTGCCCTTTTTCAACGACGGGTCGTCGACCTTCACGTACCAGACGTGTTTCTTCAGCCCCTGGCTGTCAGTCACAGTGGAGAGTCCTGGCTTGGCCACCTCCTCATGGGCGGGCGGCTTTTCAGTCCAACGCCGGCCGTCGGAAGCAAGGAGTTTCCCTTTCGACCACTCCTCATAGAACTTCAACCCCAAAGCGAAGACGGAGTCATCTCCCATGGCCAGCGGGAAGTAGTATCGAAGTTTCTCAGCCCATTCCTTTCTTTTCTTTGCTTCCGTTGACAGGTTCCAGATAGGCGTGTACGACGTCTTCTTCATTGCCCTCGCGTTATGCTGTCCACACACAGGATAATACCAGTATTTCTCCGGGTGTGAGATGTCAAAGTCAGCAGGCAGCACGCGCATAGCAGGCTCGCCGTTCTCTGGAGGCGCGACGATCGGAGCGAGAATGAAAATGGGCTTCATGTATCTCATGTCTTTACGTTCGTGGCAGTCGATCATAGCCAACGCGATGGTATCAACGAGGAACTCGTCCAAGGATCGGTGGTTGTACGCGTCTTCCCAGTCTGGAATAGCTAATATTCTTTCGGAATGGATGTGCAACACGACGTCCTTCTGCACCCCTGTCTGCATCTCGAGGAAGAACGCATTGTCGAGGTTAAAGGCGTTGAGGTTAATCTCCACGTCGTCATCCCCCTCCCCGCTGTCGCCCTCGTCTGCTTTCTTCCCCCTCGATGATTTCGMCCTTTTCCCGGAAGACTCACYGGTTCTTCGYTGTGTCGACRAGTCTTTTGGCRTTTCATCCCCACCTCCAACCCTTTTCCTCTTCTCAACGGAACCGCCCTCTCGTGTTGTTGGCGTCCGAGCACTCCCTCCTACCTTTCTCTGCCTTTTCAGAGCACCTAGTCCCTCTCGCTCTTCCTCATCCGGCAAGTTGCGCTTGCCTCCCGACTGAGTTTTTTCAGCCGATCTCTCACGGAACAGCCCCTGCTCGGACACCTCCTCCTCACCGGCGACGTTCCCACTTGCTTCTCGTTCCTGGCTCAACTCCGTCTGCAATTCCCCCGGCGCTGGTCGGGCCCGGCGAGTCGTCTCATCTGACCCACGCACCTCTCGACCCTGCAGACCACCCGCTGGATCTCCAGGCGAAACCTCGGCCACCTGCATGCCACGAACGAACGAACCAATCCTTTCGACCAGACCACGAGGAGTCGTCGATTCTGAGCTCTGTCGCAACTGTTCGCCATCGCCGCCTCCATGTGGCGTCGACTCCCCAAGCAAACCTTGGCGGCGAGATACATGCAAGCCCGGTTTCATAGGAGTACGCGGATGGTCGTCCTCCGAGTCGTCTGACATGCCCACCTCTTGATCAGGAGGCGTAGCTGGCAGGCCACCCTGACTTCCCATCTCCCTTTCAGAGCACTCTCCTCCCGCGAACTCAACAGGACCACTGATCGATGTTCTAGGTCCGACGTCCACGGCACTGACAGAGGTACCAGATTTCGCCCAGACCTCGAGGAAGTCTGTGACGTGAACGGCCTCGTCGTGCCCCGGCGCTAGCGGGAGAAAGTGAGGCAAAGACATCGCACGACGGCCGTACCCGCTGAACATCCTCCCGGCAACCTTGCATCCCTTTGCGATGTCGACGACAGAACCATCACTTCTGTAATGCTTCTTCAACGTAAACTTGAAATTGTGTTCGCCATCATCGACCCACTGAACGATGGACCCTGCGAGACGCGTTCTGTCGGCGCGAACGGCGGCGAACAAGAGCGGCCCGCACGGTGGTTGCAACGGGTGGGAGCCGTCCTGGCTCGCCCAGTCCAAATACCAGACGCGTTTGCTGTAGTCGCACCACAAGTTTTGAGCACGTCGTTCTTCCTCCCCACCTTTAACTCCCCGACTCGTTTCCCTTGCCAGCGACGACGTCGTCCCTCGACGCTCCTCTCCGTGCGGGGCGGAACCACCAGTGGAGCGACCTCGTCCGTGTGAAGCCATTCCCTGAAACACACGAAGGAAATGAACCCACATTCACTCAGAAGAGTCAGCACGTCCCAACATCAACCACAACCCACAGCACGTATTCTGTTATCGGTCACCCGGACTCCAAAAGAACGAAGTTCAGTCACAGTTAGACGACAGTGGTCCACAAGCCTGCACGTTTCGGATGAATCGGAGGCATCGAGAGCCATCCTTGTCACACTGCCCTTAAGAGAATAAATGGTCGAAAACGAAGACCGTGGGATAGATCGGATACATCCGAAGCAGGCGCAGTCGAAAAACCGATGTCGCATAGGCACCTGCACCGGGAAAAGCAACACCTCGCAAGGAGGCCCTAAAACGCTGATACGGCAGACGAAGACGAATACGTTGTCATCAGAAGTCGACAAGTAGATTCTAAAGTCCGCCGTTGTAATTCGGATGAATCCGAGCTCCAAAGTGGTGTGGACCTCCCCCTTTCGGCCCGTACGAAACCGAACTAGAGTTTTCTTGTCCTTCTGAGTCGGTAACGGTTGTGACTCGGATGCATCCAAACTCGAACAGCGCGGTCCAGAGACGGTCGTCCACAAGAGATCATCTACAGCACGTATTTTCATCACTGACCTGCGAGCACTGGGTTAACCCTATCCTGTCGGAGGTTCGGTTCGGTTGAACATGAACTTTGCAAATGTGGCTCGGATTAATCCGAGACGGGGACTGGCGGAAGGACCCCACGGTCTGTTGACGCCCATCCAGCCATCCAAGCTTCCGTTATTCCCCAGGTGTCGTCGGGTCCAACCGAATTTGGCACGGTGTGTCTTCGTCCTTGAGTGTTTAAGACGGGTGTGGCTCGGATTTATCCGATTTCGACAGAGGCTGTCCCGATACGTGCGACCACGACAGGCTGCGCCGACACCGTGTGCTTTCGACGTACAAGTTTATCAGACCGTGCGAAGTCGTCAATACCCTCTGCGCATGTGGTAAATCCGAAAATGCCACCGGTGTGGTTCGGATTAATCCGACTTCGCCGAGGCGCTTCGCTTTGTTGTCGCCCCACTACACACCGGACCTCCCCGCGATTGCCGTAGTGTGTCATATAATCTGTGCATCATCATGGGGGATATCGTCGTCGTCGTGAGTTTTAGTTGGTTGTTGCTCGCCCAATCCAAACAACAGACACGTTTGCTGTAGTCGCAGCACGAGTTTCTAGCTCGTCATTCTTCCACCGAGCATAACCATCTCGACTCGTTTTAGTTGCATGAATCCGAGGCAGCTTTCTGGAAGACGAAGACAGCGTGGTAGTTCGGACACATCCGAACTGGGCACAGTCGAAAGACCGACGTTGTGACTCGGATGCATCCGAATTAGGCCGACCACAAGAGGAGGACATCGGCACGGCGTTTTTTCCTCAATGACCTGTGAGCAGAGGGTGGACCCTATCCTGTCGGAGGTGTGTTTCGGATTAATCCGATATGGAACGGTCTTTTGACAGCGTGTGATTTTGTCGTTCACGTTTATCGGAACGTGCGGCGTCGTAAATACCGTCTGAGCATGTGACAAATCCAAATTTGCCGTCAGTGTGGTTCGGGTTAATCCGAACTTCGCCGAGGTAACTCGGTTAGTGGTCGCCCCGTGAGTTTTAGTGGGTTGTGACTCAGATGCAACCGAAATTAACAAGGGTGGCTCGGATACGTCAGTTGTTGCGCCACCACAAGATGGCATGGACGGGGTGGGCTGTCGTCCTCCTGGTTGGTTAAACATGTCGCCGTCGACAATACCCTATGAGCATCTGATCGCTCCGTGTCCTGTCCTGTGTCCAAGTCAGCGGAAGGGTTCCTCGCGGCGTTCGGCTGACACGAGGTTTCATAGGGTTTAAAGATTTGAATTCACGTTGGCCTCCTGCGTCTTCGAATCTGTCATAGCAGTCTTAGGATTACTGATCGGTGATTGGGGGACCAACCTGAGATCGGTTGAGCGACTGTCTGCGATACACATAATTGGAGAAATTTAAGAAACGTTGATAGAGACGTCGACAAGGAGACTAATTTCGATAGAGCCGGAAGGGGGACTAAGATCGATAGAGACGTCGACAAGGAGAGGATGCGCAGCGAGAGAGCCTGTCTTTAGCTCTATGTCTCTCCATGTGCAGATCCTGCGGATGGTGTTGTCCATTTCGGAATTCGCAATGTGACCCGTTAATAAAACGGCACAAAAGAAATTTAAGAAAAAAATGTTCGTGTCGGCGAGAGGAAGATTGGCGAAAAATGTGAAAAATTCGACGAATGTGGAGGACATTTTACGGATACAGAACCGAACGCTGAGCGAGCTGCACGAGGCGACTTACGCGGAAAACGAATAAACAAACCGAGCGCAAGAAAAATTTAGTCGGCGAGAAGAAAGTCCGTGTGCAATCCGGAAGAGACAGAATTCGTGAGAAACCATGTTCTCGTGTTCGACAACATACGACTGAAATCCTTATATCGCAGTTCGTGAGAGAGACAACAAATTGACGACAAGCAAGTAACACTTCAAGAAAACATCTCAAGTGACGACACAATCTCGAAGTGCGTGTCGCAACAGTCTCGGGCTGCATTCGCGGGTCCCGTTTCGTTGGTGACCACTCGCCCCCATCAGATGGCACACTCACATGTCCACGTGACAGCTCCTGAACATGCGTGGCGACGATCAGATAGAGCCCCGCATCCATCAGCGTGGCCACGCTTGTTCAGGACGTGACACGTGGACGTCTGAGTGTGCCATCTGATCGGTGCGAGTGATCGCCAANGCCCCTTTGTCGCATAGAGCCCCGCATCCATCAGCGTGGCCACGCTTGTTCAGGACGTGACACGTGGACGTCTGAGTGTGCCATCTGATCGGTGCCAGTGATCGCCAATGAAACGCATGCATTCTTGCTCCCGAAACTCCTTCATCTCGGCCCCATCAGATGGCACACTCACACGTCCTCATATCATGTCCTGAACATGCGTGGCCACGCTGATGGGTGCGGGGCAATATTGCAGCCTGGCATCCTTTCTGCTGCCGCATAGAGCCTCGCATCCATCAGCGTGCACACGCTTGTTCAGGAACTGACACGTGGACGTTTGACTGTGCCATCTGATCGAGGCGAGTGGTCGCCAATGGAACGAGATCCGCAAACGCACCCCGAGGTACGTTCGCGAAAGAAACAGGCCAACGCATAAGACGAACGAAATAGAGGCGCTGAAGACAAACGAACGACGGGGACGAAGATGGTAGTTGAACACGACGGCACACACGTCCACGTGTCAAGTCGTGATCATGCGTGGCCACGCTGATGGGTGCGGGGCTCTATTCGACAACATTCCGTTGCCACATAGAGCCCTGCATCCATCAGCGAGCCCACGCTTGTTCAGGACCTGCCACGTGGACGTGTGAGTGTGCCATCTGATCGAGGCGAGTGGTCGCCAATGGAACTAGATTCGCGAAAGCAGGCCGACGGAAAAGACGAACGTCATAGAGGCACTGATAGAAAACTGACGATGATGGTGGTGGAACACGACGCTGTTGGTTCTGTCTCATTCGTTTATCTGTGCTTGTCCGTTATGTTCGCAAACTTTGTGCGAATGATACAGACAAGCGCAGTGAGACGAACGAGATAAAAGACAGAAAGAGAGATAAAGAGATAGCGAGAGAGAGAGAGCGCAACATAGAGGTGATCTCCGCCTTCATCACACGGCCCAATCAAACGTCACGATCAAATGGCCCCGAACGTCATAGACTCCCTATCACACATCGAACTCACGGAGAGAAATCTTTGTTGGATCACACGACACTGCTCGTTCGTGGCAACTGAACCCAATGTAATCGCCACCGCGCGAATCCCGACTACAGATCGCGTACATGTGTGGGCATTCTGAAGGTCTACGCAAACCCAGCATGGCAAGACTTTTCAGGTCGGTGGAGATGGCGAGAGAAAGAGAGAGAGGGAGAGAGGGAGCGAGAGAGAGCGAGAGAGGGAGAGAGATAGAGAAAGAAAGAGAGAGAGAGA